CCACTGTATTACATGCATACATATACACTGCACTGAGAAATTCACCATGGCATGGTGTGCACACAGCACCATAGATACACATTGCACTGAGAAAACCAGTGCAGTGTCTACACAGAAGTACAGAAGAACAGAAACATTACACTCTGAAGTTCAACTAAGCATTACACACCCCAAAAAACAGAGGCACACACAGCCCACATTGTGAAACCCACCATCCTATTGCGCATGCAAAAAGATATGTACTGAAACAAAGAAATGCACAAAAGCAGGGCTTAAGCAGCAATGAATACACAAACACACGCGTAAGAGATGCACCAAAACTGGCACACACCTACAGTGTACACATACATCAGAGCAATCAGCAATATTTCCAATTCCAAACCTTAGCAAAAGATGAAGCAGGACCTAGCATCAAAAGACTGGCTTCAAAATAATTAGATTTCAAATAAGAATATCAAGTTCTTTTTATTTGCCTTATTGTGCTTATATAACCTGAGATTTTTCTGACATAAACCTGGGACTACTGGAGTTATATTAAGTAACCCACCAAATATCACAAGATGCCCAAATAACAAAAACTGCTGTAGGCACAAAGAGCAGATACTTGGACTGGCATAGACACATACACACATAAGGCAGGACTGAACCAACAAAGAAAATGCATGGACACTTGTGAATCTACACCGGGTTCTTTTGGAGGGATGCTCCCCAATCACTACAAATCCTGTGTGAGGAAGAAAGAATAAAACAAAACCCATTTGGATTCCTCAAGGTTTTAACCTACTAGTAGGCCATAATCTGACCATTGTGAGAATACTTCCTCACAATTTTTCATCTGATAGTTCCCTTTGTAAAATGACCCTCTTATGGACCCACTCCTTAACCAGGACTTAATCACCCACTGCTGGGCACCTAGAGCTTTTTGTCTTGTAGACCATCAGGAAAAGGTCCTAGATCATTTTCAGAGCCATGATTTAAAAAAGTTAATGTCACATGGAAAGGATCTAGTTGCCAGAATGCACAGGTCCTTTGCATGATTGATAACTCAGACTCAAGCAGTTTCACACGCACAAGAAATCAAGTGTGCTGATTTGGGATATCTGCCTATGTATACCTTACTAATTGTAGTTAAGGTTGTGAGAGTGTTGTACCTTTGAATGACTCTATATGCTGTCAGGAATTTTGTCATACATCTCAAAGGACAGTAGTCATGAAACCTTGATGACTCCGATTTCAGTAGGAGTCCCTTAGGAGATGCTGAAGACCAGGACAACCAGTTCAGCCATATTTGTGCAAGAAGTCAGAGGTTGGAAATAATAAAAGCCCCAAACCTGTTGACACTAGGACTGAAAAAAAATCCAAGTGCCTCACAGAAAACTCTGAGATAATCACAGGGGAAGAGGAAGCTTTGGCAAGGATGATGAAAAGAGGGACACGTTTTTGAGCATGGGGTGCTACTTTAATTGTGGGACCAGTTTGGGATGAAGGAACCTGACTGAACACAAGAGACTTCATAACTTTCAATACTCCGAAGTAGAAAATGCCATAAATTGGATTGCCTATACAACCTTAATTTGCCCTCTCCCAACATGCATCCCTTGTCTTATAGTGTTTAATTACACGTTCATGTGCTATTTTCAGCATACAGTCTCTGTCTCATTCAATGAGTGGCTCCATTCCTTATTTGGTATATGCCATCCAAACTGCATTATATTATTACATCAATAATTCATTCTGGAGTGTTTCCAAGGGTCTCCCTCCATAGTAACCAAATTCTTTGTATCAGTGAATTTATCTTCACAGTACATTTGTGGCATTAGGCATATTTATTATTTCTATTTTACACATAAGGAACTGAGACCAGATGTGTTCACTAATTTGTTAGCCAATTTGCAAGACCCTGGGATCTGGTTTTTCAGCTCCCACTGACTTCAGTTGCAATTGTGCAATCTCCATGCATCTTATACCAAGCACCCAGAAATGAGGAGCACAGACTCAGAGTAAATACTACTCATTTACAAGTGCCATGCAGTACCATGCTGGGATATACCACACTTGCTCCACACATCCCCTTCCCAAACCAGAAACAGCATTGCCTATAGCATAACTAAGGCTGGTGAGTAAGGCACCAGCCCTGGGCACCGATTTAGAGGACATGCCATCCGCAGCAGCCTCTTTGCAAAGAGGTAAGCATTCAGGCCTCCTATTTTCTCTTCCCCCCCACCCCACTGCTTTCCACTCCTCTCTCCTGCTCAGGGCACCAACATTCCTACTTAAATCTCTGAACATAGCTTTCTAGCAGAGAGTGGTTTCCATGCCAGTGAGTTTTCTTTATCAGTAGTGTAACTGGGGCAGGAGGGGGCACTGGCATAGCAGTCTGGGGAGAGGAGGTGCTGGAGCAGTAACCCTGAGCATTACTTTTTGGAGGGGCACAAAAAATAGCCATATGGACTGCTGCTGCCCAAACCATGGAGCTGCCCTGCTATGCCTCTGCTGCTTATATCTGAGAGGCAGAGATATAAAAGAGTAAAGTATGCAGCTTTACTACTGCTGGTTTGGAAGGTAGCATGTGACGAGCAAGTGCAGTATGTCTCAGGATGGAGCCACCTAGCGCCAGAAATGAGTGCTATCAATGGTCCTTCAGTGGTCAACCGTGAGTAACTTAAGTGACTTGTCTTGCATCATAGAGGAGTTCTGTGGTAGACATAAAGATGGAATCCGGTTCTCCAGAATGGTATTCAGCTCTCCAGATCATTACAACATCCTTCCTTTTCTTGCAGTCTCTTGTCTTATGTGCTATCCACAGTTCAATCCCTTAAAAAAAAGGAGGAGGAGTCCTGCAGATAACAGCTTTATTTGGTATTTATGAAGAGTCATTCTCAGGGCATCATCTATTCTGCCCACTGAGTGAGTCAGAAGTCCTGTGGGAAAAAAACAGCACATAACTGTATCATAAGGTATAACACACAAAGGCTGAATTAAAGTTGTAAGAATAACCTCACTTCCTGTGAAGCAGAATGTGTCCGGTTGTTTGAATAGAAGATATTACTGAACCGATCTTGCTTCTTATATATCCCCTGACCATCATGGATACAACACCCCTATGAGACTATTTAATTCCCATGTGTCCTAACTTTGGAGTGCTTAGCTTTGCAAAATTAATATTTTTAAATGTAATTCCTTAATTTGAAAAATACAGTAGAAAATGTCATCTGGTGGAACCATACTGAGGATGATTTCAGTGATCATCAGTATTCATACTTTTGTCCACAGTACAGACTTGCACCACCTGAGCTAGTGGAGTTACTGAGGTAGCAGCAGTAGGCCGTTATCATCTATGCAGGCTGCACACTAGGAAGGGAGGTGGTATACACTTTGCCAGTGAGGTTCAGAACTATAGGCTAACAGTAGAGGAAAAAGAGGACTGAAGACCTCTGGTTCACATCCACTCTGAAGGGGAGGGGGCTGGTGTAGTTATAGAAGCTTCTCTTTCTGCCCCTGTTTACTCTCCTTCTGCTCCCTGGCATCCTGCCCCCTCCTTTTTTTCTATCCTATTGTGGCTTGTGTCCCTGCCCTTCTTCTGCTATCCAGTCCTCACAGGTTCTGCCCCCCTTTGTTTCTATACACTTCCTTCATTCCCTCTCCCCTCTCTCTACTCCCATTCAAACTAAACAGAACTCATCCTGATACATTTTTAACAAATATCTTTTGTCATCTCTACATAGCAAAATTGTTATTGGGATAGAAAATAAAATTACTGCATCCCAAATCTACCTGAAACACTAAAATAAGCATTAATAGCTGTACTACTGCAAACTGTAGGTGGCATTTCAGGTTGCTGTATGTTCAGTGACATATTTACAGACTGCATAAAGATACCTGTCTTTGAATGAGAACACTTTAGACATAATGCCAAATGGCTGTACAGTGGGACTATGCTTTGGTGATTCTTGACATGTGAATGATGAGCTGTGCCATTCAAACATTTACAATACATATATGGCCCTTCTCTGCCATATAAGAATTTTTGTGTGATTTTAACAAAGAGGCCATATATTTTTTTAATCTATTTAACATTTAAAATATCATCAATGTATATTTATTCCCTGTGCATCTGTTCTCACTGCTTTCCTGCCAGGGGAATCATCACAGGAAAGTAGCCATAGCCATGGTAGACAGCACTCTATGATGATCAAGGGAATCTATGCCTAGTGGAGAAGCTCTGGTTGAGGTTGGTGAAACTGTTTAGGCATGGAATGGCAGTGGATGTAAAGTCAGCCATCTGCTGCCAGGTTTGTAGCTGATGCCTCTTAGACAGGTACCACACTGGGACATTGGACTTTAATGACTGCTTTTTCAGTTGGAAGCACCTTTGCACAATGGATTGACTGATGCTAGGAAAGCCCTTTTCCCCCAAACACTTTGCAGTTTGGAGACTGGGAAATACCCAAGCATTGAACAAAGAAACTAAGGTGCTGATGCTGGCCGTTAGAAACAAAAAGAACAGGTGGATCAGGAAGGATCTCACAGACACCCAGAAAGGAAGGGAGTGCTTTCACAGCAAAATGAGTCCTTTTTAAGTACATGACCTCCTGATATCAGAGCTAGTTGACCTCAGAGAGAGAAACTTCACATTTCAGAATACAAATTATGAGCTGTAGGAGGAGGTTCCCAGATGCTGATTTATGCCTAATTACTTTTGAGGGATGAAATCCTAGGCACTGCTATGTTCCTTACTATTGCCTACTGACTAGATTCCTGCTTAGCTTCCAGGGTTCTCTAAATCAGCTTCCTCAGTACCTGACTGGGGACCCATGAGTTGCATGGGGAGCCTGCAGTTGTAAGTCCAGGCTAAGGATTCTAGCAGGTAGCAGTTGTCCTCAAAGTTAGGATTTACAATAACTAAGTTCCCTTTGTGGGTTTAACTCTGGGTGCCCTAAACACTTATATCCATACTTAAGCATGTAAATGAAATTAGGTTGATTTTGTACAGCTGGAGCAACCCTCAGCTCCTACTCCCTGACTTTAATGTGTGTTTAATGCCCCCCTGAAAGTTGACTTAGATTTAAGTTGACTTGAGTCTTAAGACTTAAGTCATTGGACTTGAGCTGAATTGCTGCTTTAGGGTGTGTCCCAATGAGTGTGTAAGTGCAGGGACATGTATTTCCTGCAGGACAAATAGCAGCAACACATACTTGTAGGGTAGAGTAGGGGAGGCCTGGGTAGGGTAGGTTAGGGCAGGATAGGGGAGGCTGAGGCCAGCATCTGTACTGGCCCCAGCAGCTTTACATGGGGTCCTGGGGGCCTCCCAGGGCAGCAGCACTAAGCCAGCCACTTGGAACCTGGCCAACAGCCAAAGCATGGCTCTAGCCAGCCGGGCTCTCTTCCTGGTGGTGCATGCTGCTACCATTTGCATTTGCTTTTTTTTTAGCAGTGATTGTTTTTGACACCAGGATCTCCAGTGTCAAAAAAACCTGCCATGGTGCTAATTTGCAGTGTGGCAAATGGGTGCACATATGTCATGTGTGGTTTGTAGTGCCTCAAACTGACCTGAGGTGCTGCAAACTGTACACACACCCTTGTCAAGATGTGCCCTCAGTGGCTGTTTTTCTGTTCTGAGAGTAAAGAGCATATGTCTCATACCCATCCCCTTTCTACATGCACAAGTACTTGGAACCTGTGAATGTACAAGCAGGCAAATCAGAATTTGCTTATCTTGCTGGGATCCTATGACCCTAGCTGACTTCCTACCCCTGGAGCAGGGGGCTGGACTCGAAGATCTTCTGAGGTCCCTTCCAGCCCTAACGTCTAAGAAATCTATGAAATCTATGAAATTAGAATTCAGGGATCTCTTCCTCCCAATTCAAATCCTCTGTCTGCTCTATTTGCTGGGATGAGGATCCCAGTACAGTATGAGGGCAGATAGGGTGTTGTGTTTCAAATGCCCCACTGCTAGGTGATATATAAAAACCCCAAATGCCTTAGGGACTCTTCCTTCCTTCAACTCCTTTCTGGTAAGGAGATATTTTTGGCCATATCACCTCTTCTGATGTATGGCATTATTTGCCTAAATGAAACTAGTTTTCAGAACTCATGACTGAAAATACGGAGAAGCACTGACATTCAAATTATGGAAAAAATGGAAAGGATTGTTTCCCTGGAGAAGCTGAATCTCAACCGTTGGCTATCATCCTTCATTTTGGCTTACCTGTCTTCTGCACACCGACAGGGTTTTTTTTATGAGGACAGTCTTTTCATGTATCCTCCACTGTCTCCTCTCCATTACATTTAAAATTGCATCTTGCACCAGACATTAGAGGCAAAGGTGATTTCTGCCAACCCATTGGCTATAAATCAGTGCAGAGTGGAAGCTGCTCCATTTTCTAAATAGTTAATCACAGGAGATGACCCTTGGGGTTTTCCACCCATTCTAGCAGAGACATTAAGAGCACATTATCATGTTATTGATATAATCCAAAGTCTGGAAACCCATGTCCAATTACAGTTCATTCTCCTATTCAGTGCAGAAATTTTTAATTTAAATCTTCTAAAAGCACACAGGAGTTTGACATGTAGGGGGAACGCTTAACATAGCAACCTTGAAGCTGTTCCTCAAACCAGGGGGGAGTGGGATTTCTTTCTTTGCACTTCACTCCCTTACTTTAACCAGCAAATCCTTCCAGAATGAACATGTGCATCTTTTCTCAGGAACGGGTCCATTTGAATCCAGTTTTCTCTTCTGCCAACTACTTAATAACTGGCACCACAAAGTCATTTCTCATTTAATTCTCCTACATAAGTTGGGGGTGGGGGGAGTGAGATTTCTCTTTTCCTCATACTATGATTTCATTTTAGGTGGATGCCATTTGCAAACTGAAAGAGCCTGGTGGACTTGGAGATGGGAAAGCATTTGGGAGCTGGCTGGGAGTCAAGTTCTAGTGTGTGTCAGTCAGACAGTTTGTTTAATTACATTTTTATGTCTGTTGAAGAAATTGAGAACTGGAAGGGTAGTTGAGGCTCGGTAAATAAAAGGGCAAGTAAGCCTGGATGCTCGTGGAGAAAGACTGAGGAAGGGTTAAAGGCTTGCCAGGCCATTGAGGGCCAGGCCACTGTAATTTGTAATAAGCATCACTCCATAAATAATAGACCAGTGACATAAGTGTGTAGAGAAATGATGCTACCAAAATGTTACCTGGTAGTTTCAACATAAAATTCACCTATCCAGCTCCTTCAGATAAAAGTTTTATGGTAATTATGTATATGACACATGGTTTATGGAAAGCTCCTACTTTGCTGGTTAGAATGATTACATGCTTTCGCCTCCAAAGGCTCTTTCCTGGTAGGACAAATTCTCATAAAAATATATAGAATAATGTAATTAAAGAGAATCAGTTTATTCAGTGCTATCAATATCCTTTCTACAGCAGTAGTTCCAGGCATAGTCATGCTCTTATATATCAGTGTGCATGAGAAAGAGAAAGAGAATGCATGGGGATGCAGGATAAAGTTTTTATTGCCTTCGGTTTAGGATGGCACAAATGCCAAGTTGTTTCTATGAGTCAGATACCTTCCTACATTAGTCCACCTAGCTACTGATCTTTTCATGCTAAAAAAAAAACAAGAAAAGAAAAAAATCTTTTAAACCTCTTACGTCCTAAACTGCGTTTTTACCTTTGTGTAGAAAACTCTTTCCTCTGTGCACTACTCCTATCCTCTGCTAACCCAGTCATTGCATTGTCAGACTGTAGCTTGACCTTCATCCAGTCCAGCCTGTGAACTGTTAGTGCTGAATTCCAACTAGAAACCTTCCTGTTTCAGACTCTCTTGCAGCATCAAAATCTTCTGTAGCTATAGACAGGAGGTATACACATGCTCCAAATTTTGGCCAGTGTCTTGGCCAGTAAGAGTTGAAACAATGGAC